ACACACACACACACACACACACACACACACACACATGCATACACATTTTAAAATACCTCTTCAAAAGAGCGCATTCTTGTGTCTGAAATAATGATAGTCATATTATTTAGTCAGTAAGTAACTGTTCGAGACAGCATCAGACGAATTTATCTTTGTTTCAGACTAAAAAATACGCTCTTTTGTAGAGATATTTAAGCAATTAAAACACAACTCATTCCTGCTCTGATATCAAAGCAAATCATCCACACCAGCATCGACAGTGTCACTATGAATGGACGGATTTTCGAACACCTCTTAGAAGGTATTACAATGTTGTTTTAAAAAAAAAGTCAAACTCAATACACGATTGTTGCAAATAAGTTACTACCTTTGGCGGTCATAAGCATCATAAATACCCCAACGTTGGGCGACATGCCGATGAAAATTGTACAAAGTGAATTTCCGAGGGAGCCAATGGTGATAGCCACTCGCTCGCCAGTCACTGGAACCAATAGTGACGTCACAAGCATGGCTGTGGACAGACGTGTTAGAGTTCGAATAGTGTAATTCTGTTTGTCAGTTTCATTTCTTTTACTTTTTTTCCCCTTCTTTTTTTCTATTTAAAAGATATAGGTGTGTTCGCCCCCATAGAAACAATTTACGTAATTTAGGAAGGGGGCTTCGACCCTGCCTATCGCGATCTGAGAGGGATACAAAGTCCCAGTAGAGCGATCGGGTACTCGACAACATTATTCCCCACAAGAGAATCAAACTTGAACCTTGTGCTTGCGAGGAAGTAAGTACTAACCGTTATGGCACAGACGCTTATGTTTTTCAGTATTAATTGAAATCGCTTTCTATGTACCAACAAAGCTCGTTTGCTCCTTTCACAAGTTGCAGAGTGATCGAGAGAGAAACCAAAGACATTTGAACCGTATTCTGAATTTCCTCATGATAGACAAGTTTTCCCCCCTGATTCGACACATTGAATGGACTAGATGAAATGGAAGTTCAGATGTGTTTAGAAGAAAAGTAGATTGGTAAAACCATGATTTCCAGAGCCGTGGTTGTATGTAGAATGCATGAAAGGTCAAAACTGCACTAGGACACAACCGTTGGCCTACTGTTTTGTTGGTGAGTTGTGGACAATGAAAATATAATTTTACAGGAAACCAAATAAAAACAACCCTAGTTCCTTACACAGAAAAGAGGCAGGTAATAAAAGGCTCAGAACTCACAAGCCAAACTAATGGAGACCATCTGGAGGGCGAAACTGATGGATGTGGTAGTGACGGTGGAGTCAAACTGTTCCACAAAGTCCAGGAAGAGCATGGCTATAGCCCGACCGAACCCCGCGGCGAAAAAGATGATGACAAAGTTTGCTGAAAAAGACATAAAAACCAACACAAATAAAGGTAATCTTTCAGATAACTTATTCAGGTTGTGAATAGAAAAATGAATCTATTTAACACATTTGGGGAAAACAATTCTTTTTAAAAAGAAGACCAAAACTAAAAGTTACATCAGTACCAATGCACTGGATCCAAATTATGAACGGTCCGAAATCATCCCACATCTCCCATTATGACGCCGTTCGATGACGTCACTAACTATTTATTCCCAACGGGATTTTCCAACGAAGAAGGATGTCGTAACACTATGTGGGGTGCCCACTACAGCTGGATCGGGCCTATCGCCAGACTCAGTCGCCTGAAACTGAAAACAAACACGTTTGTTTTTGAGGCGATCGAGTCGAGCGATCGGCTGATCCCAGTCGTTGTGGGCACCCCGTATTAAATTTTTAAAAAAAG